TTCCTAAAGTTTCAGTCCCTATCTTTTATAGGTCTCAGAATGAAAAATTGGTACAGACGCACACGCAGACATACAGGCGTGCAGAAACACAGACACACACACAGATAAATCCTTGAAAATATGCGTTTTTGCTTTGCATGGATGCAAAAAACGCATAAAAACTCCCTCCGCTTCCGCTCTCTATGAGAAGCGAAAACACTCGAAGAGTAATCCGAGCGGTAACAGCTTGACAGTGCTCGTTAGTAGTGCCGGTAACAAGTTTGCCAGTGGCTCCTACCTTTCAGAGTTGGTTTGAAACAAGCTGATAGCAGATCTGAGTTCCTTACATGCGGCAACCCTAATTTACCGACGAAACGAGTGGGCATAAAGAGATTCCTACTTGTTAAATTGAACTCTCGACCTTTTGTGAAAGAGTGACTTCATTTGCTACTGTACTGTGTTTACGTGAGATTAAGTAGTAGAGGAACCCCATCGTGCTGTTTCAGCGGCATTATTGTTGTAGGAACAATGGCGAAGCATAAGTCTTGTTCGATCCAAAAATCGTTATTGCTTTATTCAAGTGAATCTACTGCAGGTTTCCACTTACAGCATAACTTGATGCAGACACGTAAGCAAACACGAGCTTTTATCGGTTCAAAAAGTAGCAATGGAGTAAAACATCACATGAATGAGATCATAGGCTGATGGAGACATCAGTTTGAATAAGGAATTATGGCAATTTGTGCACATGTGAGGCCCAAATATTGCAAAATATTTTACTTAACTATCAACAAATTCTGGACACCGATATACTTTTGTCCCAAAGCACTATCGGCCAAATCTGAAGAAAATTAAAAAATTGAGAAGTGGAACAAAAAATTTCGAAAGCCTAACCTCAGGGCCTTCATCGGCATATACAAGGCCGTTGTATAAGCTGCAACGATGCAGGCATTGTCAGATTATGCTTAGGTTATAGTCTGAAATTCTGTGTACACCGGGAAATTGCTGCATTTTCCCCTTGGGGGCTTGAGTAGAACAAACTGCTTCCATGGGCGATTATTGAATGAAGGTCGTGCAA